GTATTAAACTAATTTTTTGATAATTAAAGAATTATTAAATAAAATTAGGGTTCCATAAAATGGAAAAAAACACGATAAAACTGTAAAAAAAAAGACACAAAGATCAAAACTAATGCTCTGCATACCCAATACCAGATTTGTGCATTGTGCACTAGACAAGTTAGAAGAGATTGATGCAAAAAAGCCACCACATTGCTAGTCATCCTAGAAAGCCATCTCATAAGACCTAACTCAAATGGTGGAAGCTTGGTGTTGGGAGTGTAGGAGAAGCTAAAAATGATATTATTATTACTATTAACTTGGGAAAAAAAGGGGTGCAGATGTCTAGAGCTTGGTGGTGGCAAGTTGAATGGTCGTCGGAGAAGAGAATAAACATGGTTTTGAGTCATTGAGGGAGAATAGGAGAGGAGGGGCATTCAAATGATAGGGGTTAGGCTTTTTTTTCCTTTTAATGTTCTGATATCATACGGAATTACAATAATACACCTCTTTTCACATGGAACACATAAACACTAAAAACGTGTTCGTTATTTTAAAGGGGACATTAGTGAGAATTGGGATTCCAAGAATCCTAGTGTGCTCTAGGCCCAATTTTTCTATCCAGAATTGAATGAGATTTTGATAAATGAAACCATCAAAGACCATTCTCAATTTCTCATCTAGAGGATCATGAGAATTAGAATAATCGATCCTCCGGAGTGATGCCAAACGGGCCTAAATCCCTTTAAGATCTCATCTCTTTCTCTCTCTCTCTCTCTCAAAGATAAGAGATAAGAGATCTCATTTCTTTATGTTTGATCTCTCTTTCTCTCTTTAATCTCTTGCACTCCTCTTCAATCCCAATATAGTTTTCATTTTATTTCTTGTTTATTTTGATTCTTAAAAAAGTTAAAAATGTTTTTTATTAAACCACATATTGTTCTTTGGGTTGAATGGTTCATTGGGCAATCCGTTCGAGTCAATAGTTTGTTGATCAATTCAATGGGTTTTGAAAAAAAAAATGGGCCAAGGGGGAAATGGAACTAGACAAGTGATTATGTGTGTGTGTGTGAGAGAGAGAGAGAGAGTTTGTTGATCAATTCAATGAGTTTTGAAAAAACAATGGGCCAAGGGGGAAATGGAACTAGACAAGTGATTATGTGTGTGTGTGTGTGTGTGAGAGAGAGAGAGAGAGAGAGAGAGGGAGAGAGAGAGAGAGAGAGAGAGAGAGAGAGAGAGAGGCCCACATTGGCCTGACCCCTATCGAGTTATGATTATGTTGGTTTTAATCGGTTCTGGGTTAGGTTCGAATTAAAATGAATTAAATCTTTGCATATATAGCTTTAGGTGGCATTTGACAACACTTTTCAGACGTTTGAGGTCTAAAAACTTTGCTTTTCAGATGCCATTGGCATTTGGGTTTAGGTCTAATTAGTGGATTTGAAGCACAAATTCAGATTTGAATTGGTAAGACTTGGTTTCATGTCTTACTAGAATCAAATACATTTCAGACGTGATAAAATGGCATTAATACCCTAATTATTGTCATCTATTTTATTTTATATTCTTTTTATTATTTATAATATTACCAAAGAGTCCATTTCTAAGGATAAAATAGTAAACTTCATAATTTTAGATGTAGGAGAATTGCTCCAACTCAAATGATCTTATCTTTTCAGAACCTTTAAACAGTAGAAAATCATTTCTAGTTCTTTTCAGATTTCAGACTTGGATAATATCATTTTTAACTTTTTAGATTTTAGATTTCAAATTTATCAAACACCACCTTAGTTGAGTAGAGGTGCACTATGTATGGGATGAGTTGGGTCGTATTCAATGCTCCTTTCTATTAGTAGGCTGGGTCTGGTTCAAATGGTGTTTAGATCTCCTACGCACACATTATTGCAGTCGCACACTAATAACATTTCACATATTTACATGTTACCATTCATAGGGAGATGTAGGGGTGCAAATAGATCGGATCATGACCCGATCCGATCTGAATTCGATCCTATCTTGTTAGGTTCAAATATACTCCTATCGGGTTTTTGGATCCAATTGAAAATCGGATCGAATTTGAATCAGCCCCTTATCAAATCCGGAAAAGATCCGATCTGATCTTATATATGTATATAATATATATATATGTGTGTGTGTGTGTGTGTGTGTGTGTGTGTGTGTGTGTGTGTGTGTGTTTATGTATATATGTTATTTATTTATAAATATGTTTAGATTGCATATTATAAAAACACATGTATATATGTGATGAAAATAGTTAAAGAAAATACTTGTATTTTTTGTTTTTTCTTTATATAAACTGATATATATATATATATATATATTAAATTTTTTATAAATTAAATCAGATTGGATCATATTTGAATATTCGACATTATTAACGGATTTGAATTCAAATCTATGTTTGTGTGATCCGATTGGATCGGATGTTTGTATTGTTGGATTGGATTCAGATTTACCCTAATTTGAACCTGGTCCGATTTGCTTGCATCCCTAGGGGGATGTTCCCATTGTGTAGCTGCAATGTCTTGTGGGTAAGATTATTGTGGACATGAAATTTGGATTGTTCAAATTGAAGTTGCACCGAGTGGGATTCGGGTTGGGCCAATTAATCCCATATTGAAACCAATCCATTAACATCCCTAAGAGTAGACTTATTCATGGTTTGGGCTCCGATTAGGCTTTACCACTTAGAAATGTCCAAGCTCGAGCCAAAGAGCCCAGTATATGTTATGCCATATCTTAGTTCTATCTTCTAATTAATTCTATGTCTTAACTTATTCCTATCGGATCACACATTTTGCACATTAATTATATTGTAATCCAATATACAATTACATTGAAGTTCAAAAAAATCACACACAAAATACAAAACTCAAAATGATAATATAAGTTATTACTTAATACATAGTACTAATATATTTCTTATTATTTATAATATTATTGAACTCGAACTCAAATTCAAACTAGATATATATACAAAGTTCAAATCTGGCACCAAAACAAATCAAATCTAGGGGTGAGCAAGAAAATCTGAAAAATTGTACCAAAAATCCAGTTAACCAAACTGATTGGTTCGGTATTTTTAAAAAACTAAAGGTACTGGTTCGATTTTGGTTAACCGATATAGAAAACCGGTGGTTAACCAACCAAGGTTCAAAGTATCGGAAATGCAAGGTGTACTAGAAAAACAATTTTAAGAGACGTATCGGGATACGCTTTGAATACGTATGGATACGGACAAAAAATCAAGATACGCATAAATATAGTAGAAAATTCAAATAAATCCTAAAGATTACTAACAATATTTACATATTTATATGATTGTAATAATTCATTTAAATGTAAAAAAATCATAATTTTTAATGGTTTATATAAAGTGTGACATATCGAGACACAATTAGTAACCGTTGAAAAATGATGGAATAACTAAAATATTAAAAAAGAAAAAAAGAAACTAAAATGTGAATGTCAATTTTCAAAAACCAATATAATTAATCTTAATGTTTATTAGTATATAAATTTTAATAATTAATTTTAGCATTTATTAATAAACACTTGTCACACATTAAGAAAAGTGAAAATTTACTTAAAATTAAAAATACATATGATCATATAAAACAAATATGTGTGGCTTATTGGCGAACTTGTGATTATTAAAATTAAGTGGCTTCAAATCTTGCTATAGCTAAATTTTAAAGTTTTTACACTAACAAAACGAAATTAATGAGAAGGAATCATTAATTAACGGAATTAATAAGAGAATTTGAATTAGTGAAATTAATGACTAATTAATGAAAGAGAAATTAGACTTAAATATAGGATTAACGACATTAGTGAGAGATTCGGTATTAAATATTGATTAATGAAATTAATGATGAACCAAAATCAAATGTATCGGACCTTGTAACTGACCGACCGATATACATATAATTCTATGTATTTTAGGTATATTTATGTGTATTATATATTTTTTATATGTATTATATATTTTCTATATATTATAAATTAATAAATATGCATTATATATAAATATTTAAATATATATATTTATAATATATAATATATAATATATTATTTAAAATATAATATTTCATATATATTTCTGAGTTTTTATTATATCTTTATATATTTTTTATAACATATATTAGAAATATATAAACAAAAAAATTGATGAACCAAATCGATTAACTGATCGGTTTCGGTTATCGGTTTTTCCAAAAATTGATGATATTGCTTTGGTTCCAAAAATAAGCCCACGGTTCGGTTAACTGAACCGTGAGCACCCCTAATCAAATCTAATATACAGCCCAAGCTTGTGGTCCTTAAAATGGGCCTAAATCGGGTCTAAAACGGGTCAGCCTAAAGTTGGGAAAGTGGAAAGTGAGTAGAGGGGGAGTTGCCATGTAATTTGGTGAAAAGGGGTGCAACTTGGGTGGCCCAACCCAAAATTTTAGACGACCTAAGCTTGAATTTTTGGTCCTCGGACTAGGCTCGAGCCCAAAAAGTTGAGCTTTTTAATTTTTTGGGTTGGGCTCGGACCTAGCTCTTAGGCAGTTCATACCCAACTTGAGCCCAACCCAACCATATAAATTCATACATATATACATAATTTTGTATAAATATTTACATAAATACATACATGTATATATATATATCTGTACCTATATATTTCTCTATATATATAAATATAATTTTAAAATGAATTCATTAACCAATCCCGACTCAACCCGCTGAACCCAACCCGAGTGCTGCAAGCAGGCTCGTATTGAAAACATCATGCTTAACCTTGAACTCGGGCATTAAATCCAAATTTTAGGATCGTGCTCGGGTTAACCATAAACCCGTACCAATCCGCCCTACTTGCACCCCAACCGCGAACTTCATCGCAACTTGATTGAATGATTCGTAAAGGTAGGTAAATTGCGTAGAAATAAAGCCCCAACTTGCAAATAAAAACATAAAGATAATTGCACGTATTTCCTAATTTGCTTTAAAATCCCCTAAAAAAATTGGACCCAACAAACACCAAAACCTTCTTCTCTTCCGACTCTTTTTTTTCCGTCTCTCTTCTTGCTTGGCTTGCTGCTCTTAGCTTTTCCAAAATCTCAGCTTCAATGGCAAACAGCAATCTACCCCGAAGGATTATCAAGGTACGGTAGGCCTTCTTCTCTCGATCCCTCTTTCAATTTCTTCGTTCTTAGTGTCTGCGTTAGTGCTCTCTTGATTTGGAATTACTTCCCGGATTTCGGATGCTTTGCTATTCTTGATTCCTGCCGAAGACCTGGGGTTCTGGCTGGTTGTTTTCTTCTGTTATTCTTTATTTGTCTCTAGGGTTTATGGTTTTGCTTTTGATCTTTGACTATTGATTCTGTGATCGGACAGGAAACACAGCGGCTTCTTAGCGAGCCAGGTATCTATTGTTCTTCTGTGTTACTTGTCTTTAGTTTTCATGTATCTGATCTCTCTGTCCCCCTCCTCTCTCTTCCATCTGTATGTTCATGCCTTCAATTTATTGGGTTGCTTTTTCTTTAAAAGTATGAATTTTCACTCAATCTACTATTTCATTTTTAGGTTTTCTGGATTGTTCTAAATTTTTGCTTGCCATTACTCTCATTTCTTCTAATAATTATTAAATAGCTGTAGAGATTTGAAGATCCTTTAAATCGTTAGAGTCGTATCATAGCGATCTTTGAGTAGCCACTTTAAGATTTTTTTTTAACAAATTGAAGGGATTTGTTAGCATTTCATGTAATTGCTGATGTCGTAACAGCTCCCGGAATTAGTGCTTCTCCTTCAGAAGAAAACATGCGATATTTCAATGTCATGATTCTTGGCCCAACACAGTCTCCTTATGAAGGTAATTAACTGTACCCCGGCCTTTCTGGACTGATTTCCTGTATCAAGTATTATTCTCTTTGGAAATGTACTATTAGTCATATTTTGCTTGTTTCCAAGTTGTCTGTGGGCTGTATACAATAGGTGTAGCAGCGTAGAAATGGAGAGAATTCAGAGTTGCATATTTTTGTATCTCTTCATTAACAAAATGAAAAAAAAAAGACAGGGAACACTCAATGAACCATTAAAAGTGCAAGTGAAAATTACCTGCATTACTTGTTACTTTCATGAATACACATATCATATGGAGAAGTTGCCTTAATATAAGAAAAAATTTTAAATGAATGATTAAATCAGTTGCATGTTGCTGTCTGATAATTGTATAACTCCTGTGGTTTGAATGCTTTATCTTCTCTTATTCTCTTTTATACAAACACTTAAATGCACGCTTGGGTAAATGTACTTGAAATGAATCCCCTGCTATTCATCTATGAAAAATGAAATAATACAATTTTGTTATTCTAGATTCCTTTGGAGAAAAGCGGAAAGTTAACCGTTGTAAAAGGAAATAATTCAATCTTTCTACATTTTATTATTTATGAGAACAATTTACTATTTTATATATTTTATGTACACTGACTGGCTATACTGTTGTGTGGGTTATTGCCCCTTTCATCTATTGTTATTACATTTCTTCTTTAATAGAATGGTCAGCTAATTTGAAGATATGGATGGTTTCCTAGAATCCATTTTCTGAGGTGAATGTTGGTTAAATTCATAGATGCTAATGATTTTGGGTCTGGCTTGAAAAGTAGATATTCATTTCCTTTTATATTTTATTTTGAAGAAACTGTGATGCCCTGGAGTTTGGCTAGCTTGTAAATAAGAATTAACTGGTTTTGACTGAGTAGACTAGTATCCGGTCACTTGGAGATCTCTTTTGTTCTTCAAGTTTCTATTAACTTGCTTTATTAAGAATTAGCTAGATTTAAGACATGATCATACTAAACAGAAGTTCTATTGATCCCTTCAGAAATAACAAACATGCTCGTCTAAATTTGTAGTCTGTTTTTTTTATGAGTGATGGATTTTCTTAAAGGGTAGGCATTCAAAGGCAACTCTTTAGGTTTGTTGAAGATGCTAAAATTTGGATTTTCAGAAACTTTTGTCATTAAAGGTACAATATTTTTGATGCTTCGAGTAGCAGTGGCTTGAAGAGACATGGAAGTGGTTGAATTGCAAGTAAAAACCACTCCCTTTGTGTGGAAAAAGTGCAACCTTTTCGTGGTCAATTGACTCAATTTATATAAGTGGGCTTTATAACGTGCACTTGGTTCATTTGATTTTTCCCAATGCTCCCAAGTTCCCAACTATGTATATGTGCCCTTTTATTTCATTCTATTTTTTTTTTCAATAAATGCAGAGACATGCCACATTTCCTTTGTGTTTGTGTCTGGGCATTATAGATTATGGTTGCACGTGCACTGGGTGGTGGGCAAAAATGAAAAAAGAAAATCTGTAGCTATGTGATTTGTGTCTTACAAATTTCCTTCTTCAAGGAGAGAAAATTGGAGGTTGTCTTCACTTATCAAAAAAATTGGAGGTTGTCTTCTTCACTTCCTATTCTCTTATTTATCTTCCTTTGGACTTGTGATCATTGCAAGTTTGGTTCATCTTCATTAAGTTCATACCTTTCTGACTGCCTGGATGAGTCTTAAGATCATGATCTGATGCATCTCAGAAGTAGCTGCTTCCTGCTGGAGAAAATTCTAATCCTTTTTGATTGTGGAGAGCACAAAACATTTTTTCTTTTGTATTTGTTCTTTGTTTTTTCCCCTTTGAGAGAAAATATTGTTGTGCATGGAACTTCCGACTCTTTTGAGCACCACACTTTAGTTTCTATAGCATGTAGTTCTTTTTTTTCCTTCCTCATCCCTTTTATTCTCATCTTCATTTCCTTGGAGCTAATGAATCTTTTATTGGTTTTGATCTCTGCATAGGAGGGGTTTTTAAGTTGGAATTGTTTTTGCCTGAAGAATATCCAATGGCGGCACCCAAGGTATGACATTCTCTTATCTTTTGGTCAAACTACATTATCTTATTAATCGCATTGCATTGATGCATTCTGTATGCACTTTCCTTTTTATTATAACTTCTGATATTTGTCATTTTGGCTTGTTTTTTGCTATTTTCTTATTCATGTATTATTAACATTGGGAGCTGCCTCCTAACATCAGTGTTTCCTCATCATTTAATTTCTAAAACTTTACAATGGGGCAAAGGATTTGCATGTTATCTACTTACTAAATTCTTTGGATGTTTAATGTTCAATTTTTGTTAATACAGGAAATCTAAAGAGAAATCAGTTTCTCTATTGAGTTGACATATTTGTTGTATAGCCATAGCTTTATCTACGATACCCAGATATACTGGTGTCAGACATGATACTTATCTGACATGACACTGGGTAGACACTTCTAGATGTACTCTATAGCATTATTAATAAAGAAAAAAGATGTACTCTATGGTATTATTGCTTTTAGAATATGTAATATAACAAATTATAAAAAATTAAACTATTAAAGTTCTGTACATGTATAAACTTAATTAAATTGGGCAGGATATAAGTCTTGAAAATGATATTTAACTTTAAAAACTAGATATAAAAGTACCTATAAAAAAAGAAAAAAAAAACTAGATACAAAAGCATGATATAAGCATGCCTGGGATTTTAGGGAATGGAGAGTTGTATCGCTGTTTCCTGTATCTGGTTCATGCGAGCATCCGCATCTGGACATTTTAGGCTCTTATCATCCATGCATTGTTATTATTTTTCTGGATAACATATCTTCTGGAAAGAATTGTCCCTACAGTGTTTTGGATGTGCTATTTTCATGACTTCAGCTGGTACTGTGGATGCAGCTGCTGAAAGATATTGTCCATCTTATGTTATCTGCTGGCTCCCTTGAAGAAAATAACATTTACTCATTGGGGATACTAGGTTTTTCATTTTTTTCTCCTGTTTGCATGGATTTTGATACTTTTTCACTTGTGGTAACTACATTGACCATTATTTGGACATGTGCATTTTATTTCAACCAGTGATTTAAAAGGCATGCCTAGGGGCACAGCCACACAAGCGAGGCATAGGCGCAGCCCTTTCAAAAGGCACATGCCTGGTGTGCCTAGGTGTGCGCCTGATGCGCTTTGCGCCTCAGCCCAGGCGTGCGCCTTTTGAAAATTCCACGCTTTTTTGCTTTTTTTGAACCTAGCGGCTGGGCTGGGGCCTCCGTCCCTGGACCCCTGTACCACACCCCTCGAGGCAAGCCCAAATAAATCCATGTTGGGGCCTTAAAATTATAAAATCATTATTTTTGTGTGAGAACTAAGAATTTAAGACCCTAACATGGACTTGTTTGGGTTGCCTCGAGGGGTGTGGGCCGCGTGGCACAAAGGTGGCTCGTAGAATCAGGAATTTAAAATGTTTTACATCACATTAACTACTTTAAGTAATGCAATTGAGGAAAAAAGGGATTGTGGGTTTTACATACTTGAAAATGTTTTATATGTTTGATTTTATTTTTAAATTTTCTTTGGATGTTTTTAATATTTTTTTTTTGAATTTTCAGACTTTTTTTTATTTTTTAGCATTTTTTTTGTAATTTTGTGCCTTTCATCAAAAAGACACGTGCCTCGCCTTGGGCGCAAATTGGCCCCTGCGCCTTTTTTGCGCCTTGCGCTTATAAAACACTGATTTCAACAGAATTTTCTGCAAGTGCTGTAGTTTTAGGTGGATGACATATTTCTTGCTTTTCAATGCCCCTACTGTTTAGACTTGCAAGCTGTTTCTATTATGCCTGACGAATGCTATTTCCGGTTCTGTTAGTAGTTTTTAATATACTACTACTAAATGTAGGCTTAGAAATTGTCTCTCTGCATCAAAGAGTAGTCTTTGTGTTGGTGAACATGTCTTCTCTCAACTGTGATTCTATGGATTAAGTATTTAGTGGCATAAAATTGGATTCTGTTCCATAAGCCATTATCATTATGTTTCCACTTGTTGGGTCTTATTTTGGTAAGTACCAATGAACAAGGGAGAATACATCATATGCATTTCCTTCTACCAATTTGGTTTAAGCTATTAATGGAATATGGGTTTTCTACTTATTTTGTTGTTCTGAGCAACAGCTTGGGTTAGTTGTCACTGGCATGGTTTTCATTAAAAATTTTCTTTCAAGGGGTCCTCTATAGTTCTTTAAATGCTCCCTTATAGAATATCTAAAGTATTGAGGAGCTTTGTTCAGGGCAACAGGATTTTGTTATTTTGTCAAAATTGCATATGACTGATTGACTCTTCAGATTTGGTAAAGTTGATGTTTATACATTGAACTAATGGCTTTCCTACCTTCAGGTTTAGTTGTAAGAGTATGCCTTATAAACCAATGTCCATAACTTGTTAGGTCTTGATTGAAACTATCATTGTCAGGTTCAAGTTGCTGTATATGCTAAAGGCAAGGTTCAATCTTGGAATGCACAGTATCCATCAAAAAATCTTGGAATGCACAGTGATACCCTAGTACATGGTTGGCTTCTGGATCTTCTTTCTATTTTAGGGGTCTTGTGTAGGCATGCATGCATGTGTGTGTTGGGGAGGGGGGGGAGGGGTGGGGATATGCACAAATACATGTTTTATTTTTTTGTTATTTTTCTGGCAGTAGGTTATAGGGATGAATGAGATCTGAGGCTTGGACTTAAATTGGAGGGAAGGGAAGGGGTGGCTGGTGCAGAATTGATGGGGATCTGTGTACTCTTTAACTGTTTTTAAAATTTTGAAGCATTTTTTTTATTAAATGGGGTGTGTTCCAACAAGGGGAAAAGACATGATCAGAAGTGGGAGAAAGGGAATCAACACGTACTGTGGTTTCCACTTTGGTTCGGGTGAATGTAAGATAAGAAAGTTTGAGATGTAAGGATGGTGTGCCTAGTGTCTGCCTTGTGTAATTGCATCCTTGTTTACTTTGGTTTATTTTATATATTGGAGAACCCATTGAAGTTCCATATAAATAGAGGGTTTAATGGGGGATTATTGCTGCAAGTGCAAGTCCTCCATTTGTAATTCGGCCATTTTGGAGATAGAAGAAATAACATACGTGGATTCCTAGTGCTTGCTTATTTCCACTTTCCACACCCTTGTATGCTTTGGATGGTTGACCTGGAAGGGATGTCCAATCAACTGACACTGTTGTTTTTTTCTTGTTTCATCCTTCCACATTCATGGGTGTATCCATTTTTGTTAAGAGTTGGATGGCATATGAGACTAATTTCTTATGACATTCTTTGTATTCAAATATGAAGTAATGGTACCGAAGATTGTCTTTTGGTATACAAAACTTGGACACAAAGTATGTCTGAATTCTTATGGACATCCATGTATTTGCTTTTACTTCTCTTTAAATGCTGTTAGTTCATGCTTGTGAACCGTCTAACTTGCAACAGTTCTTGTCCTGCTTTGGTTTCTCTGTTGTATTGTGTTCTGTACATTCTTATCATCCATCAACCATCCTTATTACAGGTTCGTTTCCTCACCAAGATATACCATCCAAATATTGATAAGGCAAGCGGTTCTCTCTCTCTCTCTCTCCCTCTCTCTCATTCCAAGAATATAATGTTTGTTTCTTCTAAAATGGATGATCTTGCAGCTTGGTAGGATATGCCTTGATATCCTGAAAGACAAATGGAGCCCAGCTCTGCAGATCCGAACTGTATTATTGAGGTAATAGGGGTTGTTTTCCCATGATAATTAGAAGGAATTTAGTATGCTATTGTGGAATCTGTTCTGTATGTGGAAAATATCCATGGATTACAGAGTTGATGAAGTGCAACACTGAATGGTTTCCAGAATGGCTTCTTATTACAAGACAAATAAATTGATGCTGCCATTTGTTACTGTCTCCTTGTATCAGCATTCAAGCACTCCTGAGTGCTCCGAATCCGGATGATCCTCTTTCAGAAAATATTGCTAAGCATTGGAAGACAAATGAAGCTGAAGCTGTTGAGACAGGTAACCACAATGATTTCTTGTAAGATTTATACTTCTGATTTATGAAAGTATTGGTGGACCATTAGACCAGGTAAGGCACACCTCGGAGCTTTGGTAAGCTTGTCCTGAGAGGTCCATGATTTTGCTATTGAGACAGTTATCTTCGTCACAACTGGTCCACTTTTGCCACGCTAGCATATCTCTCGATCAGTTGTAGTTGTTCCCAGCCCTTGGCCTCAATGCAGTTTCTCTTTGGCCAGTGTCTATATGCTAACCAGATGTCAAGATTGGCTTAGAATTGTTTCTTCTCAACGATCTGGCCGAGAGAAATAGATGTTTTGTAGAAAATGCTAAATTTAATAACTAGTTAAGAGTTGTAAATTTTTGATTGATTTGCTCTTTTTGATTTACCTACCATTTATGCCTTATAAGATGCTTGGAACCTTGCAGCAAAGGAGTGGACTCGTCTATATGCAAGTGGTGCCTAATATTGCTATAAAACCTGCCGCCTAGTAAATAACATTTCTGAGATGTAAGCTAAGTGGGCGTCGTGGGTTTCAAGTGGAAATGGAAATGGAAGAATTCATGACTGAAGTATCAGAGATTAATCCCTTCAAGCTCCAGTACCTGCTGTTACTCGTTTGATGGAAGGCGTCTCAGTCAAATTTGTATGAATAGATGTTTACTCTAATATCTCCATCTTTCTCATGATCTTTAATATGATTTAGTACAAAACTCCACTTGCTCGTGCATTGACTTAACCCAATTACAAAGACTCCTCAATTTCTAAGTGGTGACAGAATTCCAAGTTGGAATCCTTTGTAGAAGCTCTTATGGATGGATTTGTTGTTTTAGTATGATAATTAATGAAATAACTAAATGTTACATCGTACGCCTTTCAAAGGATTTGATAAAGACGATGGTTTATTTGATTTTTTTTGGGTATATTAATTGAGGCATCCCTTGTCAAGATGATAAGATGTTACAAGTTTAATGAGAGAATGCTCTGTTGCTCACCAATCACCATCAACAACTAAATGAACTACTTCAAAGCAAGGTTCAAGTATCGATACATATCATTCCGGGATCTCTTCGGACACCCCTACAGTGGGTGTATTGGGGGTCTCACCAGTTCAAGGGGTGGAGTCCTAAATCGGCCTCTTGAAACAGTTGTAAAAAAAAAAAAAAAGCAATAAAATGCAATATCGATTTGCCTGATATGCTCTTACCGGCATATCGGGTGTATCGATATTTTAAACCTTAGTTCAAAGTATCCATACGTTTAGTACTGAGAAATGGAAATCACGTATTGAATGATTCAAAGCATCGACACTTTATCAACATTAAACACTGATCATATGAGTTTGGATTTGCTGACTGCAACACATTGTTGGCCTGGCCACATGAACATAGATGGTGTTTGGTTTTGTTGTTTATCTGAAAAATGGTGTCAGTTCAATGCTGCATAGGCATTTTCCCCAATAGAATTTGAAATGTTTGATTAAATTGTTTATTTAATAAACATTTGTCTCAGTTTGTGTGAGAACTGTCAGTTAGATGAACCTTTTTTTATATTTCCCCTAACACCAAAGCATTATTTTTTCATTATTGTTTTTGATTCATGAGTAAGTAATAAAATTACTTTTTTTCACACATAAAAAGCTAAAGTTAAAATGAGCAAACTTGTCTTGTTATGTTTTATAAAATTTTCCTTGATTTTACTAGGGCCGAGGGCTAGTACTTATTGCAAAAAGAACACTGTAAAGTTGGTCAATAAAAAAGAGATACCCATTAATCAACTTTCCCCCTTTTATTTACGGTAAACGAATGGGGCCTAAGAGCAAGGTTCAAAGTATCAATACGATACGAGTTTCGGTCGTATCATATCGATACTTAGGAACGACCGATACATACTTTTTTTTTAGTTTTTTATTTCAAAGTTTAGTTTTTTGGGAAGCTTATAAGATATTTTTTATTATTAAAAAAAATTGGGGGTCCGAAACACCTGGAAACAGGCGTTTCGGACCATATCTTTTTTAAAAGATACGATACGATACGATACTTAGGGGTGTAAACGGATTGAATTCGAATTGGATCAAGCAATATCCGAATTCGAATCCGATTAGAAAATCTGATATCCGATGGATATTGAAAATTAATATCCGAATTTGAATCCGATTAAATATTCGAATATTTGATTTGAATTCGATTAATTAATTATTTTAGATAATTAATAAATATATAAAATAAATATTTTATTAATATAAAGTATATAAATATATAAATTATTTATATAACTTAATTATTATATATATTATATAAAATATTTTATATATTATATATAAGAATTAAATAATCAGTCAAATTCGGATATTTATCGAATCGAATCAGGTTATATCCGAATTCGAATCCGATTAACTATTTGGTAAGAATAGGATATCCAAATTCGACCGGTTGAATATTCAAATTATCCGAATTCGATTCGATTATGTCGAATATTGAATTTGAAATCAGATTTTCGAATACCATTGACACCCCTAACGATATGCCTCGTATCGGGCGTATCGTATCGATACTTTGAACCATGCCTAAGAGTTAATTAACTAAATTATATCCTGTACTTTCACTAAATTACTTTATTTTTTAAAAGCCAAAAAGGCAAATTCTCAACCATGAAAATGAGTACAAGTCATTGATCCTTATTGATAGTAGAAACCAGGATATGAGGAGCAAGTGAAACAAGAGTGAACAAGACAACCTTGTTGAGAAAGAGCATGGGCAGTTGAATTTGCAGTTTTAAGATAATGTGGCTCTGCCCTTAGGGCCTCACTAACAAAACAGTAATAGTAGTTTTTGCACAAGTTTGATGTGTGTGTGGGTGGGGTGGGGTAGGGTGCGGTGGGGAGGAGGAGAGGACCTCCCACCCAATAACTTGATTTTTCCCTTAAATGAAAGGTAAATTAATCAAACCAATGTTTAAAAAATTGACATGGAATCAGAATTGCTTTGGCTACCGCTTTCTGGGTTAGTGGTTTGCCTGTTTGGTTTGAACCAAGGTTCAAAGTATCGGAAACACATGATGTATAGGAAAGGTAATTTTAAGAGACGTATCAAGATACGCTTTGGAAACGTATAGATATGGACGAAAAATCAAGATACACATGGATACATTAGAAAATTCAAAAAATCTTTACAAAATATGAACAATAATAAAAATGAGTTTTATGTGATTATAACTAATTTATTTAAACATAAAAACTTATTCTTTAATGATTTATATGTATTGGGATATAATTAGTAACCATTGAAAAATAATAGAAGAACTAAAATGTATGTGTATACATACTAATATTTATTAGTTAATATTTTTTAAAGTCATTTATTAGTTAATATTTATTATATATAGATTTAGAAGATATTTATTATGTATACAAGTTAATATATTCCTTAATTTTTAATAAATAAATTTAACTTGTATCCATCTTATTATTATATAAATATTTATAATAAAATTTATAGCATTTGTTGGGAAACATCCACCAAGGCAAGAAAGATTACTTTAAGTATAAAAAAACATGTTGTTCTAATAAGTAATTGAGGTTGGCATAATAGTTAATTAATTAGTGTTGCAAATAAATGACGGGTTCAAAACTTCTTACCTTTGGTTTGTGATTTTTAACAAGTTATTTGACTTAAATAACATTTAATGACATATTAAATGCTCTAATTAAAGGTAACTTAAATGAGCATTTAATTAAATTATATAAGCATTTAGTGACGTGTCAGACTTTAAGGCTTAATTAAAATTGATATTAATGAGAGAGAAGATATAAATTAAATTTAAATTTAAAAAGGAGACGGAAATTAAATTCGATTGATACATAATGCATATTCGGGTATGTATCGGCACGTTTCGGAGTTCGAGGAATGAAGTAGCCCCAATTCATTTCTCGGTTGAGGAACTTCCAAGTTGATGTCTGGTCCCTTTGGTGTTCCTCGATGCCTGCTGTAATCTTTCCATTGTCGGCTGCAGAACTCCAAGAACTTTGACTTTGGAATCCGAACACCACTCCCCCAGTTCTGGAGCCGAGGAGGGGGAATGCTCGGTCCGAAGTGTTGCACGGTCGCATAGCTCGGCAGAGCGCCGAGGTGTCAAACTAAGCTTTGAGGTCCATCTTCCTGGTGAGGCCGAGGAACGTTTAGTGGAAGTCGAGCTCTAGTGTTGAGGTCATTGTGATGCTTAGCCATGATGTGTCGAGCTCCGAAGTCGGGGCTTAGCTCGGCTGGGTGCCGAGGAAGGGCTTCTTGTTGCCGGTGGGAGGCCGAGCTTCGGAGTTGAGGTCGTTGCGATGCTCGACCACGGTGCACTGAGTTATGGAGTTAGGGACCTTAGAGGTGTCGATCTACGGAGTTGAGGCAATTATGATGCTGAGCTTCGAAGTTGGGGGCCTCGTAGGTGCCGAGCTATTGTGATGCTCGGTTATGGTATGTCGAGCTTCAAAGTTTGGGGCCTCGCAAGTGCCGAGCTATTGTTATGCTCGATTAAGGTATGCCGAGCTACGAAGTCAGGGTCTCTGCTCTTTGGCTGAGGAACTTGTACTTGAAATTTTGAGATCTGAGTATCACTCCCCCTATTTCGAAGTCGAAGAGTGGGGTGCTCAGCTGGGGCGCAGCGAGGCCTCCTTTAGTCGGTATTTACTGTTGGGCATCCCTAAGAAACCAAAGGAACTGGTTAACCCAGTGGGACTGGGTGAACATTGAGCATTTGCGTCGTTGGTTGGACCACTACTACAGGGTGGACCAGAGCAATTAATGCCCTGGCTGTTGCTTGTCAAGGTCGTCGCTTCGGTTCCCGAGGCCTTGCGCATGCGGTAACAGTCGTGTCGATTGGTCTTCCTGAGATTTGTTAGGGCGGTGCTTGATCCTCACCGTAGATCTGGCATCGATTCACATTCCTGTGGGTTATAAGAAGGGGTGGACGGTAATTTCCCCTTTGCCATTTGTGATAGGAGTTGCTTGGATAGCTCGGCAGGGTGTTGTCAGCATTGCTCGGCATTTTGTTTTTATTCCTCGGCTTCAAGCTCTGTAAGATGTCTTCCTCATCTTCCCATTCTTCTTCCGCTTCTAGCTCTTCTGGTTCTAGTGGGTCTGATTATGAGTCTGAGGTTGGTCCCTCTAGGGTGGAAGCCGAGCTTCCCTTGTGGGCTGGTCGCTGGTTGGGGACCACACCCTGCGCTGGTCGGGGACCACACCCTACACTGGTCGGGGCCCCTCTTATGTGAAGCACTGGAAGGAAACCTTCTTCTTTGTGCACTATCCCGAGGACCTCCCTTTCCCGGCCGTTCTACAAAAGCCGAGAACGAGAGTGCCCCAACCTCAATGATCTGCACTTACTTGGGAGAAAAGGTCGGCTCTAAGCATGATCCACGAGATGGATGTAGCTATGTATACATGCTCAGAGATGTTGATGCTGAAGGAATGGTAGGATCCATCTAATGGACGCCAAAGAGGTTGTGGAATGGGTGGGCGAATTTCAAAAATTTTCTACCTTCCTCCAACT